TTGGGAAGAGTGGAACTAAAAGAAAAAAATTAAACAAAGTATTGAAAGGGAATGGCAAAGATTATGGGAAAATGAGACCAAGGGGAGACATTATTACTCTTTGCAGTCTCACGTTCAAAGAGCCAGGCGTTGTTATGGATCCAAAGAGATTCTGTTCAAATCTGTAGGTTGAGACTGAGAGGGCATTGTGGGTTGAATCAGTCTTTATATGTTATTGGAAAGCATCCTAATGGGCTTTGTGAGTGTGGAAATTCTGTTGAACATGTTGAAATGTAACAAATATACCATAGAAAGGAGCATTTTATATAAGAGAGTATCAGATTTGGGAGTTCGGTCATTTTCAGTTCAATCTTTATTGGGTCAAAATGAGAGCCACCACTTGATTGTTAAAGTAGTATTACAGTTCTTACACGATACAGGGCTTTAAGCGAACATTTGAAGCAGTAACTGTCCTTAGAGTGACTTCCTGAGGAGGGCAGTAACACGCCTACAAGCCTCTAAACTACCGGAAAACCACAGAAGAAGAAGAAGAAGCTGTCCGCTCGTGAACACCCTTCCTCTTTGCGCGTTCCTTTCCATCCGCGTGCCCGTGGGTGAGCCTGTGTGTCCACTGAGGGGTTCAACCGAGAACAGAAATGCCGACTAAAATCATGTTTGAAAGCGAAGACCCAGCCATGGAGGAAGCTGTAGACACCGCCGCCCTGAAGGTGAGACCGGCGGCCACTGTCGCCCGGAACAGACGATGTAATCTCCGTGTTTGACAACATGTGGCTCAACGTGCTAACCCCGCTAGCTGTTGTGAACCCAGCAGAGGGTCGGTTCAAGCAGCGACAGTCGTGTAGAAACATTATAAACGCAGTGTAATAGACAGCGGGGAGAGTGGAGAAGGTGAATATGATGAGCTGCTACGGTCCTGGTCGCAGACGTCGTTAACGTGGCCATGTAGCCTAGCTGAAGATCACATGGCCCATGTGTTGGTGGGCTGGTGATCACATGGATGTACTGGTGGCAACGTGTAGGCCTGTAGCATGCTGCTTACAGCTGTGGGGATCAGCGCAGTGGGCGCCACTTGATGACGTCTTATGCAGCCGGGGTCGTCAAAACAAACATTTACCTCGATGTTGTTGATTCATTTTGTGTTGGTGGATGATTGATTAGTTAATCAAGAGCAATATTTTTAATGTGGACACAAATAATGTGCTATAAAAACATTAACCTGAGCTTACAGCAACTTAGACCCTCTCTTAGAACATAGGTACTTGTTTAATTACAAATAAAATGCGAAAATAGTACATTCCCATGAGTTTTATTAGTTAATACACAATAGCATAGGGACATATTAACCAACATCTACAACAAAGGATACTAATTTATGTCAGTCCTTGAATTATTAACTCATTTGAGGTTCCATTTAAATTACTGTCGTCATGTGGTTTTGACTTACTTTGATAGTAATGTAACAAATAGACCGCTTTGAAATTGCAATACGACAACATAACGCTACTTCAGATCAAACTTCTTGTATTTGGTGTAACTTTGCCTTTTTACCGTTTCTCTTACAAAATGAAAAAAGGTCAAGACCAAGGAGGGCAAGAAGCTGAAGAAGAAGCTGCAGCAGCAGCAGCAGCAGCAGCAGCAGCAAGAGGACCTGGAAGTGCAGGAGGACCCAGAATGTGAACCTCCAGCATCCAAGAAGAAAAAGAAAAAAGACAAGCTGGCAACGGACCAAATGAACGACCACATAGAGGAAGCCACAGACATGAATGGCAACAGTAACGGTGTTGAAACACCAAAGCAGAAGACTAAGAAGAACACAGAAGGGGACACCGAGGTAAGTGCTGTGTTGTTAGTTTGAATATATACTGCAGTTACTATTTGGGTAGATTTCCTTCGTCCAGTCATGGAACTAAATGGATAACAAACAATATTTATTGTCCATCAAGTTGTTTGGTGAGACATGGCCCTTGTATAACACTGTCTCCACTTTTATCTTGGGGTGTAGAAAAAAAAGAAAAAGCAAAAGAAAGCAATCACAGAGGACACAACCAACGGACATTCCACCCCGAACACCCCCGTTCAGACGCCCATCCAGACGCCATCCCAGTCTAGTGAGGAATCGGCTAGCGACAGCGAAAAAGAAACGGTACGACTGATTGCAGTTTTTCCTCTCGAGACGTTTAAAGTTTGTGTTGATACTTACTGTATGGTGACTCTGCTTTGTGGTAATTAGAATGAATAATTGTCTGCTTTCATAGTTTTTATTGGATTTGTCTCCCATCTTTGAAGTGTAACTCCTGTTGAATAGTTCGAGAGAAATCAAGGTAGCCACCATGGAGGCTGTCAACAAAATCCTTTTGTCTAGGTGTTACATTTAGGTTATATGGTATTGGTGCGTTATATTAAACAAAATGGCCATTCTGTAACCTTTTAATGTGCTCTTTTAGTCTTAAGCCTAGCTGGTCTTTTAGCCGCTCCTGGCAAGTACGAGTGATGTAGTTAGGATATGCTCAAAGAAGTTTTGAAATATTTGCCACGATACAACTAATTTGACAACGCAGCATGTCTTCAAGCATTTAAAAGTTTGACAAATTAGGTGAACTTAAATCATTTCATGTAATTGAATTTGCTTGTTATGTTTATATTACATTGACCTTTACTTTTCAGTCTTTGCCTCTGCTTGTTTGGGTTGTTTTCATGAACAAACACTCAAACAACCAAAATATCATCTGTCTGTTTAGGTGGAGACACCAGAGCAGAAGGAAGGAGCCTTCTCCAACTTCAGGATCTCCCAGGTCACCATCGATAAACTGAAAGGTAAATCTGAACTCTAAATCTATTTACATGTCTATATCTTGGTTTTTACCACCAGGGTTTAAACATTGTTGATGAACTTGATGACATTATTTATTATGTCTGAACAGCTGCTTTATTAGTATTATTATTTATTATTATATTATCATCTATTATTAGTTTTACTATGGATCATCATTCTTTGAGAACGTAATCTTTACAGATTTGAATACCCCAACAATTTGAATCTTAAAAATTGGTGACCCATTAATTAATGTGTAGTATTACACAAAACTCGCTTTGTATTAAAAACTGTACTTGTAGTTCGAACCCCCCAGGTTGTGGAGCGGCGCCAGGTGCGCTGTTTGAAAGTGTGCTACATAACTAATTACCTTCAATCGTTTGTCTTTCTCCCCCTATCCTGTCGCTTTCTGCCCCCTCCTCACTCTCTCACCTCTCTCTCTGTCACTTTCTCAGCTCGAGGAGTCTCTTACCTGTTTGACATTCAGGTGAAAACATTTAATTCTGTATATGATGGAGAGGATGTAATTGCACAAGCCAGGACAGGAACAGGAAAGACCTTCTCCTTTGCCATCCCTTTGGTGGAAAAGCTCCAGAAAGATTCAGTGCAGTTGACCAGAGGCCGGGCTCCCAGGGTAAACACACTTTCACACCAGTTACTGAAAACCCACATCAATCAGAGTACCAGTATTGAGTCTGAGTACGTTTGTGTGTGACTGAGTCTCTTTTCTGACTGTCTGTAGGTCCTGGTGTTAACTCCAACCAGAGAGTTGGCTATCCAGGTCGCCAAGGACTTCAAAGACATTATCAAGAGACTGTCTATCACCTGTTTCTATGGAGGCAGCTCATACAACCCACAGGGTAAGTCTTATGCAAAAACACACATCTCCATCATCATTAAGAGTGTAATGGCTTCTTTATATTTAATATTGTTATAAAGTACTTTTTAGGTTAACTATTTACCACTTTGTTTTTTGATGTGGTCTCTGCCTGCTGTTTTAACTACATACCTTCTACGTTAATATTATTGATAATAACTGTCTACTCCTCTCCTCCTGTCTAGTCGATGCTATCCGTAATGGTATCGATATTTTGGTTGGAACCCCCGGTCGCATCAAGGACCACCTCCAGAACAATAAACTCGACCTCTCTAAACTGAAACACGTTGTTCTGGATGAAGTAGACCAAATGTTGGACATGGGCTTTGCAGAACAGGTCGAAGAGATTTTGTCTACATCATATGAGAAAGGTAAAGTAAATCTGTGTGTGTTCTTGTTTTTTAAGTGTATAGGGTATGGTATTACCGGTATAAATGTTACAGTAGGTTGTAAAATGATGTTTTGTGTTCGTGCTCCTCTCCAGACTCCGAGTCCAACCCACAGACTCTTCTGTTTTCGGCCACTTGCCCCCCCTGGGTCTACGAGGTCGCCAAGAAATACATGAGACCAGAGTGCAAACATGTTGACCTGATTGGCAAGAAAACACAGAAAGCTGCAACCACTGTAGAGGTGAGTGTGTGTGTGTGTGT